GAGGCAGAAACAAGGCCAGACATACTGAGCCCCTCCTCTGTAGCAGAGGCTCCAAACACATTTGCTGGGAGAAAGATAGTATGTGGGCTAGAGCAGCCGGCTTCGCACTGCCACAGGTGAAAATCAGACCCACACTTGCACTAAGCTAAATTTGAAATGAACGGAAGATACAGAAACATTAAATCTACTGGAAGATAGAATAGTTAAAATGCTTGGAGACCTTGGTGTCGGCAACGGCTTTATGAATAAAACCCCGATCGCACAGGTGCCATCAGAACCAGCAGCTGGGATCTCATCTCACTGAAAATCTTTTGCCCAGCAAGAGAAACAGCAGCAGAGTGAAGAGACAGCCCACGGTGTGGGGAAAAAATGTTTGCCAGCTGGTCCTCAAATGATTACCATCAAGAACATATGAAGAGCTCAGAAAAAATCAGACCTCCCAAATTCAAAGACCCAATCCAAAAATGGGCGTCTAGGATGAACACACACTTCTCAGATAAAGAGACACAAATAGCAGATAAATACATGAAAAAATGTTCAACATCACGGGTCATTCAAGAGATGCAAATTAAAACCACACCGAGTTCCGTCTCACCCCAGAAAGAATGGCTGCCACCTGGACACCGATAACATGGTGGAGGGGCTTTGGGGGGAGGCAACTCCACCACTGTTGGTGGCTGTGTACAGTGGTACAACCACAATGGAAATCAGCATAGAGATTCCTCAGAAAAACTAGGACTCGAGGTTCTGTTTGATCCAGCTGTTCCCCTCCCACGTACTTTCCCAGAAGAATGAAAGGGAATACCACAGGGCTACATGGACACCCATGTGTGTAGCGGCACGGTGTGTAATAGCCAGATCTTGGGAACAACCCAAGGGCCCCTCAGCTGGTGAGTGGGTAGAGAAGAGGTGGAGGTTTTTATTATGCAGTAGAGAACTATTCTGCCCTACAGAAGCACGTACTTGAGACATTCGTAGGAAAACGGATGCCCTGGCATCCGTACTCTCTTTGTGAGATAATCGGACACGCTTGTGTGAATACCGCATCATTTCTGTGGTGTGAAAAGCTGAAAGTGTACATAAGGACCAAAATGTTGAAGTGGGGAGGGGAACAAAAGTGAAGGAGGGAGAAAGGAAAGAAGGAGAAAGTTTTCTTAAAATGGGAGAAGAAAGAAAACATGGAAACAAAGCTTTGGAAATGGTGAGGGAAAGAGAGGTCGAAGGGAGGGCAGGGAAATGGGGGGAGAAGCAGGTTACATCACCCATGGGCACAGAATCTCTGCAGATGTGATCGATGTGTATATCTAAAATGCACCAGTAAAACCTAGGGGAAAAAAGTGTAGAATTCTAACTTATTTGTTTTGCAACTCTTCACATACAAGTGCATTATTTTGTATATATAAGCAATTTTAGGGAATCTATTATTTACCTCTCCAAGACAGCCATTGACAGAGAAGAGTTCTGTGTCCAGTTGTAGACTCCACAATACTATAGTCTCTTTCAAGGGTGAAAACCCTTCTGTTCAGCGCCTGTGACCCTGGGAAGTGCAGCCTGTCCTCAAGCACAGCCCGTAGGTGGATGCCCTGCCGCCTCTGCCTGTAAGACCTTTCATGTGACCTTGTACAGACTATTTGAGTGTTCTGCATTAGATTCTGAGGACCAAAATCCTTCCCAGCTGCTAACTTGAAGGCTGAATAAAAATCACACCAATAATTCTCAATACAAGGCAGAAATACTTACACTATTGAGGAAACCTGTTTAACAAAGATGTATTTAAATGGATTCCAGGAAAGGTGCATCTCCTTTCAGGGTAGGACTTCCATGTATAGCTCAATGGATGTGACTGTTAAATTCTCGGAACTAATCATCCCTAGGTTGTGTTGTTTCCCCATGGGAGGTCTTACATAGAGAGCACATTATTGTTCGTGTGCATTTAACTGAATCTCTTTGGCATATAGACAACTTTTAGATGAAAGCTTCATACTTTATTTCTCTTTCTGGAACAGAAATGGTGCAACTCTTGGGGGAAATCTCCTTAATGGGAGTAAAAGAAAAAATGGCAACTATTATTAATGAAGTGGCCTTGGAGTTACAGTTGCAAGCATAGCCTCCTGTAATGATGCTCAGCAGAAAATGTCACTGGCCATTTGCTTTGCAGGTTCTAGGCGAGTCGATGGCAGGCATTTCACAGAATGCCAAGACCGGCGACCTCCCTGGCTTTGGGGAGTGTGTGGGGATTGCGTCCAAGGCTCTGTGTGGACTCACAGAGGCCGCAGCCCAGGTAAGAGGCCGATTCTGGGGCAAGTCTTCCAGGCGTGTGTCCTACGCCTTAGCACGGGTACCGGGAGCGGCCAGACCCCTGTGGAAGCTCCAGCTGCTTCTCCGAGGACCAGAGGTGCCAGGGAGAAGTAGTGGCTCCGAGCTGGGGGACATCAGCAGAGCATCAGCCGCAGCAGTGTGGGTCAGGCAGGTGAGGACAGTGCGTCTCAGTGAACAGTACAGACCCAGCGTGTAGGGCTGGAGGCCAACTGTTTTATTAAGGTTAGTGTTGGTGAGTTGTTTCCATGGGGGAAAGAAAAGCACTAGATAATAAAAACTTGAGAATTGCAAAAATGTGAAGCCGTGTTCTTTTCAAGATCACAGACGAAATTAGACCTCATCATGCAGACATGATGTGGCGTGGTCCTTGCTCTTCTTCGGCCCGTACCTTTCTGATAACTACGGGAGTCCTGTGACAGAGCTTTAAAGACGTCAGCATGTCCTTTGACAGGCTTCTCACTTCCAGTTACCATGAACGTGGAAGATTCTCCTAAGATGTTCCTAAGAAACAGTTCTAGTCTTGGGGATAAAATTTTCCATCCTCAGGGAAAATAAATTGGGTCACCATTCCTTCCTCGTTCATTTTCTCCCCACTTTTGAGCTACCACATGGAAACAGAAAAGGCTTTCCTCCTGGAGCCTCTTTTTTTTTTTTTTTTTTTGGTGGAACCGGGGATTGAACTCGGGCCCTTGCGCTTGCCAGGGAAGCGCTTATTCCACTGAGCCACCTCCCTGGTCCCTCTCTCCTGGAGTATCTTGTCCTCTTGGGAAACAAATACTGTCTTTTTCGGTTACACTTTCTGTGCCATCTTTTTCTTCTGACTGAATTGTCAAGTTAGGATTCTTCCTTCTTTGGGCAGTGGGCCTTAGGGGTAAGGCGTGGCCCTCTATCCTAGCATCCCGTTTGTGGGGCAGGCAGCAGGCTTGGCTGGCCCAGCCCCTCCACATCATCACTCTACACCCACTTTTCCTGCTCCCTCGTCCACTAGCCAGAGTCAGCCTCATGCTGGAGCCTGGTGTCCTCACGGTCGTAGATGGCCGCCAGGCAAAGCCAGGGCTGTACCCTTCCTTGTCTGTGACTCACAGAAATCTTTCTTGAAGGTGCTTTCTTAAGAACAAGCAGGCTTTGTCTGCTCCGACTTACAGCAAATGCCTGGTGGCAAGTCAGGCTGCTAGGAGCCTGCCCATCGCTGCACCCTCCTTGGCCGGAGCGCTGACACTACACAGGCCGGCTTGCACCAAGCAGAGCCCGCGTGTGCCTGTCTCAAGTCTGGTTCGTCTGCTGTCTCCCAGCAGCTCCCCCAGGAGCATGCAGCCTGAGATCATTTTCTCTCTTCTTCTAGGCAGCATACCTGGTTGGCATCTCTGATCCTAACAGCCAGGCAGGCCACCAGGGCCTGGTCGACCCCATCCAGTTTGCCAGGGCAAACCAGGCAATCCAGATGGCATGCCAGAACCTGGTGGATCCCGGCAGCAGTCCATCGCAGGTAACCTGGGGTAATGAAGGGTGTGAGTCCTCGGGCTCCACAAGGTGGGTTGCGGGAGAGTGTAGAATTGTAAAGAGTCCTGTCCTTTCAGAGCCTGCAAAGCCAGCCCAATGCAGCCTTTAGATAAGGATCATGGAAAGAATTGGAGAACGTAGCAAAAGTAGAAATTTGCAGATGCTTAGAGACTAGTCCCAGCAGGCAGTAGATGTAAAGGAGCCCTAGGGACACTGGCCAGCAGTCTAGCGACTGTTCCACCCAGGGGACATTCCCTGAGGGTATGTTTGTGCTGCACTCTAAGAAATCAGCGTGAGGCCTGGTCTTCTACCCTTCGCTCTTACTTTCTTGGCCAAAGTATAGAACATGTGCTTTGGGGATAGAGTGGTGAAAGGTAGCACACACAAAGGAAGATGCGATGAGTCCTTAGAAGGAGCTGTCGCCCCGAGCCAGGTCCAAGCCAGGGTCAGAGTCCGCCACACACACACAGCAGCCAAAGAGATGGTGTAGAAGAGTGGTATGCTCGGCGTTCCGTGACACTTGTGCAGGCAGTGCCCCTGGGTGTGACAGGGCAGGCCTGTAAGCCAGCACCCAGCAGGCTGTACTGAAGGCTGGCCACAGCCTGGCAACCTAGCGTCACAGAGTCGTTATCAGAATATAGAGGGCTGGCGATATAGCTCGGCACAAGAGCTCTGGGTTCAGTTCTTGTACCCTAAAAAACAAAACACAGCAGTTTACACTAAAAGAAAGTGACTGACACTGGGTGGCAGAGGCAGTCTTCTCTGAGCAGCATGTCCCCCATAAGATGCAAGATCCCCATTCCTGAGGCAGAAGGACCTGTGTAAAAAGACAACACAGGGCCCCCTGACCCTGAGGCAGGCCCGGGTGCCCAAGTGTCAGCGCTCCTGACCAGTGAGGGCTGGAGGGTGTGGCCCACCTCAGTCCTGGGCTCTTCAGTGTGGTGGCCCTTAGTGAAGTGTGGGCGTTGGTCACTTGAAATGCATCCAGTCCAAATTGTAATTGGCTATCAATATAAAAGGCACCCTGGACTTCAAAGACCTGGTACGACCCAAAACAGTATAAAGTTCATTCACAGTATCTGTACATGGATTATATGATGACATGAAGTATTTTGAATATATTGAGCTAAATAAAATATATGATTTAAATTAATTTCTTGTGTTTCTCTACTTATTTTATTGTGGCAGCTAGAAAATGTGTTACACTGTTATACCGAGCCTTGTCCTAGAGCCTGGGGCCCAGACCTCCTGTCTGGGCTCGCAAAGACTTGCTGACCTTGTCCCCTTTGAGACTGCCAGGGGCCCGGCCCACCACCACGTCGGCGCCTCCTTCCCCTTTTCACTTTCGTTCTGTTTGTGCGCCTTGCCCCTGTCCCTCCCGGGACAGACACTGGGGGTGCCCAGGTTCTGGGCACAGAAGCCGAAGGGGAGCCCAGGCTCCTCTGCACCGTGACGCGGGGCGCCCCAACCTGGCTTCATGCTTTGTAGGTCCTGTCAGCCGCCACGATCGTGGCCAAACACACCTCGGCCCTGTGCAATGCCTGCCGCATAGCCTCGTCCAAGACGGCCAACCCCGTGGCCAAGAGGCACTTTGTCCAGTCAGCCAAGGAGGTCGCCAACAGCACCGCCAACCTGGTGAAGACCATCAAGGTAGGTGGCTGCCGTGCTTGTGTCCCGTGACAACCTCTGCAGAGCAGAGAGCGCTCTCACTGACACTAACAATGATGGGCCAGATCCCACAGCCTGGGTCTCTGCTGGGCTCCTGTGTAGGGAACCTTCCCCTCCACGCCTGGGGCATGAGGCACTCGGGGAAGATGGCAAGCTGGAGGGTGCATGTGGGGCCTCCGCCAGCCCCCTGTGGGCAGTGAGCAACCTGTGCGTCCTGCAACTCGGCCCACTGGGGCATTTCTGAATGGGCCAAGAGAGGGCTGCGTCCTGGTTGCTGGGTGGGCGTGCGCCGAGACAGGATAGGGAGGGAAAAGGAAACTATGAAAACATCATGTTTTTAAAAAATCACTTTAGTTTCCTCTGATACCTATTCTGATTTCTGCTTCCATTTTTTAAATGGAGCATTGATCTTTTTAAGTTGAGGTATTCTGGTTTCCTAATGTGCTCATACGTGTGTTAAAGTCCCTGGATACCCCGGGGAATGCACACCCCGGGGCATGGACACCCCGGGGAATGGAGAACGGCCAGGCCGTGGTCGTGTAGGGGGCTGAGGAAGCCACACAGCCGACCCTGCGCCAGGACCTAGGGGAAGACAAGCAGTGGCCACACAGTAGACCCCAGGGACAAAGCCCTGCCCTGCCTCCACCCGGCTTGGCCTTCAAAGCAGCGTGGTCCTGGGAGGAGGACGGCAGTTCCATGCAGATCTGGCCAGCAAAGGGGGAGGGGCAGCGGCCTGGAGACGGAAGCGCTTTTCATCCCAGGGTCTCCATGCTTGTTCCAATCAGGGCCCTGCTCAGCTGCCAAGGAGGCCTGGAGGAATGGTCTCTTCCTGGAGACCCCCAGAGAACAGGACGCTGTGCACCTCATTTTCCTCCTACTCTGAGAAAGCCTGATAGTCAGGCCCACGGGTAATCAGTCAGCGGGAAGAGCCTGGCAGAGCCCACGGAGAGACAGCCAGCCCACGGCAGCTAGAAGCTGGCCGGGAGAGCTCAGGGCAGTTTCCCAGACAGGTTTCTCAGCTCTTCCAACAGTTCCTATAAACATAAAAAACCTGGGCTGGGGAGATAGCTGTCTAAGCACCGGCCTGGCAAACACAAGGACCCGAGTTCGATCCCCAGTACCACATGCCATGCTGGCCCCAGAATGCCGGACATGTGCCAGCCACTGAAACTGGGGATGGTAGCCCCCGCCTGTAATCCCAGTGCTGGGGAGGCTAAGACAGAAGGATCACTATGAGTCTGAGCTGCATAGTGAGAACCCTGTATCCAACAAATAGTAATAAATAACCAAACTGCAATAATGCTGAGTGAACCGGTACGTTAAACCACTCCCCTGTTGCCACTCACCTCCGTTGGCTCCACAGTTGCAGGTGCTAGCAGTTATCAGTGCTTATCCACTTAGATGTTTCGTTTGCACTCTGTGTGTGGCAGCCATCCACTCCACACAATCCCCCAGGCTGATTCTTGTTCTCTGGGTGGGGAAACTGAGGCACAAAGACCCTGAGTGATTTTATCAAGGTGACCCAACCAGTGAGGATGAGTGAAAATTCAAATGCCAGCCCCGGGCCTCTTCTCTGTGGCCCCAGCATGCCGCTCAGCCTTCTGGGATGGAGAGGTGCGTGAGCCCCCTGGTGTGGGAGGAAAGACCTTGCTTTGTTTATGGTGCTGGTGGACGCGGTGGGGGAGGTGGGGACGGCAAGGGCGATGCTGTTGAAAATGGGCTTCGTCATCGCTTGCCGCAAAATGGGCCTACGAAGCTGGTCATCTTCTCAGCATTAAGTATCAGACTGTACTTAGACGAAAGGGGTGTGCATGGAGGGAAAGAGGCTCTTGGTCCTACAGTAATCCCGGGAGCCCTGCTGCCTCTGCCTCCTTGTATGTCCCTGCCGGCCTCTATGAGGCGGCCCCTAGGGTCTCTCGTCTTCTCATATTCCCACGCACTGCTGAGCCCTCTCTGCAGTTCCCTGTCACAGATGAGCCCCTGTGGTGGCCAGAGAGACAGGCCTGTGCAGGGACACCAGAGGAGCAGTGTATGGTGACTGTCCTGTGCCCGTGAACTCCAGGAGCCGGTGATGATACAGGAGGGACAGAAACGAGCATGCGGTCCCCTGACCTGCTGGAAGTGGACTTGCCTTTTCAGTTTCCCCTCTGGCCGGGTTTGCTGAGAGCACGGAGTTTGATTTTTGATGTACTAACTGGGAAATGGGGAAAGGCATTTTGTAGTAACCGTACCACACACTAGCTAGGTTTCCTAGTGGAAGGCGTGGTTAAGTGTCCTGTCACTTCACCGAAAAGCAAGTGAATGTCTGATTCCTGAGATACGTCAGACAGCTGCCTTCATAGCTGGATTTTCCTCTCAGGCCTGTGCTTCATGGAGTTGTTTCTGTTTTCACCGTGAGGGTGTGCCCAAGCATAAGCTCTAGCTGCCCCACCCTTCTAGTCCAGAAGGAAGGAAGAGACCTGGCCAGAGAAGCCCCGGGAAAAGTGTGGCGCGCATGCGCATGCGGTGACTCCAGATCTCTGCCGATGGCCCAGTCCGCAGCTGAGCAGGAGGAGTGTGCACGCGCCGTGCCTACCGGGATGGCTCTGATGCCGGGCAGGTTAGCCAGAGGCTCTCCCCGCCCCGGCTGCTGCGTGTGCTGGCCCTCACACACACGCTTGCTGTCTCGCCTCACCTCGCCTCGCCTCGCCTTCAGATGTGTGGAATGGAGCGTCATTGTAAATGCACAATCTTGAAGGTCTGAGTGCCGAGCAGAAATTGCTGCACAACGCAGGCTTTTGTTTTTCTGAGTTGAAATTTGACCTTGGCTCTTACCTCAGATGTAAAACTCAGAGTTCTGCAGCTGAGCGATTCCATCCTGTGCCGCAGGCACCTGATACAGCTGTCGTGAATCGAATTTGACTTGGCTGTGAGTATGTGTTCTTGGTCATCCTTATGTTCGGATTGTTGAAGTAGGTGTTTTCAGAAGAAAGTGGGGAAGAATTCAAGGGCTTCATACTCTTCCTACTTTCTGGCTTTTGTCTAAGGTCAGTAGGAGACAAAGGAGTCAGGCAGGAGTCTTGGGTTATGGTGTGAGGAACGCTGGCAAGTAGCCGGGTGACCTTAGCGAGTCATGTCCCCGGGATGGTTTCTTAGTTGGAAAGGTCAGGTTTTGTTTGGGAAAAGGGAGGGTTTGGTGCTCAGTGGTCCTTAAGCTCTGGGAGAGCCCTCAGATTCTGTGGCTCTTTGATTCTTGTTCCTACTCAGAGATTGTTTCTCCAGGGTCCCTGGGCGATCAGGCTGTGAGCAGTTGGAGCGGCTGGCCCCGCACTTGGGAGTGCCCTTGTCCCATGGTCCTAGACCCGTAGATGGCTGGCACAGTATATGCTCTGTGACATGGCATGAGATAGGAAACTCTTGCTTGATGTTTGACTGCCAGGCAGATGAGAGTGTTGAGTTGTATGGCCCAGCCATGTCCAGTGGAAACAAAGATTGGATTTGAAATAATATCTGTACAGACCATCCTTTCTGACGCCAAATCTCTCCTTAGGAGAGAACTACTTCTTCCTGCACACAGGAAAAGTGCTTGAAGTAGTTGGGTCCATGTCATTCCATGTGCTAGCCCGTGAATAGCGACAGGCTGCGTGACACAGGGTTTGCAGAACCTGTGCTAAACAAACAAATGCTTTCATTGGGTTGATGTAGTTCATGAAACTATTAGAGGACTGTTGCTTGGGATTCACCACGGACAGTTTGAGCAAGTTCAACTGAGGAGCCATGGCTGGATGAGGTGCTTGGCTTCCCAGTAGACGGAAGGCTCTGTGGGAGGCAGGAAGGGGTGAGAGTGTGGAGGAGCGAGAGGCAGGCTGGGTGAGCAAGCCAGTGGAAGGCTCAGCGTCTTCCGTCGAGCTAGGGCTGTGATTGGTGGAGCTGGGGTCTAAGCTCTTGGATTCCAGAGTCCTCTCTGGCTATCTGTCTACGTCACTGTTTTCCTCGGCCAGGGCCACATGTGTCAGGCCGCTGCCAGGTAGTACCCTCTTGCCTCCCTCGGGTGTTCCCAACTTGCTGAGGCCTGGAAGGACCCAACCTCAAGGAATCCATGATGGCAATGGTACAGTGACTGTCCCTTGCTGAGCGGCGTCTCCTCTGTGTCACCTGAGCCAGCCTGTAAAGCAGCACGTGCTAGGTGCAGTGGTGACAATTGGAGAGGAGCAAGAGGGAGCAGGCAGCTAGGGCTGGGCCTAGGCGAGTGCGCCAGTCCCACCTTAGGGGAAGGTTAGTGCCTGTCTGGTGGGGGAAGGGCGCCAGCCAGAACGTGATGTAGCCAGCCTCCTGGGAATCCCTCTGAAAATATTAGCTTTACAGGGATGGGGAATTACTGTCCCAAGTTGCCAAGGCTTGATTGGAATGTAGTTGTTATTCAGGAGTAGCCTTCAGACCAACCCTGCCTGCCTCCTCTTGTCTTACGGAGAAACAGAATTCCCTGCTGCAGACCCAGTGTTTTGGTCGGAGCCAGCACCCCTGGTTTGTTTTTTGTTTTTTTTTTTTTTTTTTTTTTTTTTTTTTTTTTTTTTTTTTTTTTTTGTTTTTTTTTTGCTAATTGTCTATGTTGGCTTTTATATATTGTACATAAAGATGAAATTAAAAGATTTGCTAGTCATTTAACAAAGAAATTTGCCTTCTGCAAGCATAACTGCTTTCTCTAAAGCATCCCTCTGCTAGGAGTTAGGGACACTAGCCCAGGTCACAGGCTGATGGTCCTGACAGTCTTGCCTTGAGGGTGGACTGCTGCGTCCTCGGGGCCCTTGGATCGAAGCATTAGCCCTTTGTGAGATTGCTCTGCGCGGGTCACAGGCCACACTCCTGGGTGCCCTTCCGTCTGCTGTGAGTCAGCAACATGCTCTTTGTTACCTGCTGCCTGTCCAAAGAAAGAGAAAAGATACATAGAGGAAAAAACACACCTCACATGGGGAGCTCACTGAGTTTTCCCAAGTTGAAACTGGTAAATGATAACGGTACATGCAGAAGCAGCACGCTATCAACACCAAGGAGCCGTCCCCTGTGTCCCCTCAGCCCCATTCGCTCTATGGGGTAACCTGACTCCTGCTGCCCGGTGCACTCCTGCCATGCTTGTTCTTTACACAAACAGAATCGCTCCGTGGACACCCTGTGTCATATGGCCTAGTCAGCAACGTGTTTGTTGGTGGATTTGTCCATGTGGTGGGAGGACAGTCTAGCACTGGATCCCACCACCTCCATTCCCTGGTGGCTGTGGTGACGTCATGCAGGGACATCCAGTCAAGACTGAGGCAATCCAGGTGGCAGCTTTGTCACTCGGGACTTAATCGGAGTGGAACTGGAGGAGCAGCGCCCAAGGATGGCCGCAAGAGCAGGCCCGTCCCTGCCTCTTGGGAATGGAGGTTGACCGAGTGGGAAGCCAGCCATGCTGGGAGTGCTGACCAGGCTTGGCTGACTGGACCTCTCCATCCAGCAGGCCTTATTGTTCATTAATCCACCCAACACTTCCACTGGTATTTTCATTGAAACTTCTTTTTTCTCCAGGAAGAACTAGCTCTAGCTTGGGGAGGATTTGTGCTTCTCAGGAGGATGAAATCTGTTTTTCTCCTATCAGGCCCTGGATGGGGATTTTTCTGAAGAAAACCGCAATAAATGTCGCATTGCCACTGCACCCTTGATTGAAGCCGTGGAGAATCTGACAGCGTTCGCATCAAACCCGGAATTCGTCAGCATTCCTGCCCAGATCAGCTCGGAGGTAGGAAGCTCTTGGCAGCAAATTTAACACAAGGGCCTTTGGCTGATTTCCTTCAGCCCTGAATGGGCATGACCAGTTGGAACTACACGTTGTAACTGAATAGATCATTTTGTATCCAAAGGTAAATTATGAAGCACCTAGAACTTTTTAATTATAAACATATATTCTTTGGTTTCTGCCGTGGCCCAGACAATTTTTTTTCTATTGTGGGTTTTGTCCCCCCCCCCCCGAAATTGGGTTTATTTGATGCAAGTCTTAAGTTTCGTAGTAAAGAAAAAAAAAAATCTCCATTAAAAAAAGAAAGAGAAATGGGCTGGGGAGGTAGTTCAGTGGTCTAAGTGCCTGCTTGGCAAGCGCAAGGACCCGGGTTCGAGCGCTACAACCCCAGGCACGCCACCAAAACCTGACATCATGTCACCTGCCCGTAGTCCCAGCGCTGGGAAGGCTAAGACAAGAGGATCGCTACAAGTCCAAGCTGTAGAGTGAGATCCTGCACCAAATTTAGTAACAGGTTTTTAAGCATAAAACAAATGAATAAATAAAAGTTGCAGAAGCCTCTGTCAGTGTGTAGGGTACAGTTACTGTTGACGGTGTTGCTCACACAGTTGCGAGTGCCTAGACCCTTCTTGAGGGGAAGCAGCTTCGTATGTGGAGAACAGTCTCCGCTCAGGTTTGGGGCTGGCTGTCCCACAGCGCGTGGCACATTCAGAACCTCTACGTAAGGACCCGACTTGGACCGAGGTGCCCACGCCTCAAGCCCCTTTCTATAACGGCTTCCATCCAGCAGGTGGAGGGCGTGACTTGACAAAGACTTTTGAGGGCCCCCTTGAGCCCCTCGTGGCCGTGTGGCCCGCCCTCACCCCTCTGCTGTTCGGTCTTAGGGCTCCCAGGCCCAGGAGCCGATCCTGGTCTCTGCGAAGACCATGCTGGAGAGCTCCTCAGACCTCATCCGCACCGCGCGCGCTCTGGCCATCAACCCCAAGGACCCGCCCACCTGGTCTGTGCTGGCCGGACACTCGCACACTGTGTCTGACTCCATTAAGAGCCTCATCACATCCATCAGGTCAGTTTCCCGGCCGCAGAGGGGCCTGCGGGGCAGCGTCTGCACAGAGGGGGCTGCGGGGCAGCGTCTGCACAG